AAAAAAAAAAAAAAAAAAAATGTAATGAGAACTCTTAAGGGGATGCAATTAGATCACAGGGGAAAAAATGAATTCTGGAAGAAAAAAAGCATTATTCCTGAATTTAAAAATTCAATAGAGAAACCAAATAAGAATAGTCACTGATGAGAACTGAATTAATATTCTGGAAAAAACAAATGGAAATAATATCTCACAACAGAGAGCAAAAACTTGAAGAAATGGAAACCATATGCAAAAAGATATGAGACATGGATGGCAAAATCCATAGATGAGAGACTTATGGGCCCAATACACAAATAATGGCATCTTAGAGAAAAAAGTATGAGAGAGAGAAGTAACAATCAAAGAAATGACAGAAGAAAATTGCTCTGGTATTGTGAACAAACAAGATTTTCAGATTGAGAGGGCACTCTAAATCCTAGGAAGATTAATGAAAAAAGTCACATTCCAGTGGCATTTGTGAAGCCAAAAGACAAGAACAGAGACTTGCAGATAGAGACCAGATTACTTACAAAGGAAAGAGAATCGATCTACTGTCTGAAACTGGGTATAGTGGAACAACATTTACAAAGTTCCTAAAGCAAAAGTCTCTGACTCAAGAATCTCATATCCGTCCAATATATTATTTAAATGTAAGGACAAAAAAAGAAAGTTTTTTTTTTTAATTTTTAATGTTTATTTTTGAGAGAGAGAGACACATACATGAGTGTGAGCAGGGAAGGGGCGGAGAGAGAGGGAGACACAGAATCTGAAGCAGGCTCCAGGCTCTGAGCTGTCAGCACAGAGCCAGATGTGGGGCTCGAACTCACGAACCACATTATCATGACCTACCTGAGCCGAAGTCGGACGCTTAACTGACTGAGCCACCCAGGCATCCCCAAAAAAGAAAGCTTTGAGCTCAAAAGTATAACATCTCTGTACGCTTTCTGAAGAAATTACTCAAGGAAATTGCTGCAAATAAAAATTCAATGAGAACAGACTTCAAAAGAGTGGAAGACAAAGAGCATAAAAATGGTGATGAGCAATGATTTTTGTACATTTATAGTTGGCTCTATAAAGAAAAAAAATTACAACAGTCAAAACATATGTTAAAGGAGCATTTAGTAACACCATGAAACTGCAACTCTAGGATATTAACAAACACAAGAGTTGGGGAGGGGAGTAGGAGCAAGGAGAGAGAAATAATAATACATTTCCAAAATTGTTTAATTTGGAAGCAGATGAGGGAAGGTGTAGACAGGATAGTGAAACGTTTGGTGAAGGATTTAGTTATTTAATTTTGGTATCTCAGTATGGAAATAGAGACTTAAACGACTACAAAAATAGGGAGAACTCAAGAGTAAGATGGGAATACAAATAGTAACACTTATAAATTATTTATGACAAATAAGATATTTAAAGATCACAATGCATCTGAGCATGAAAAGGAAAAAGTGGAAATAGAAAAGTATTAAAAGTAATCATAAAATAACATGAAAGGAGCAAGATAAAATATAGGGTAGTAGTTTAACTCCCTTATCAAAGGACGAAAACAACAGAATGAGAGAAGAAAATGTTGAAAAGGAAGGGATGGGCCTACATTACATACCAGGACTAAAAAAAGCAATAGAAGTAAAACTAATATAAAAAATGAAATTTAAATAAGAACATTTTATCATAAAAGATAAAAGCTACAAAGAACAAATAACAATCAAGAGCCATTATATGGCAAATAATATAGCCTCAAATTATATAAGGTTAAATCTCCTTGAAACACAAGAACCTGATAAGAATCATAACCACAAGGGAAAACTTTAATACACTTGTCTCACTATTTGATAAGCATGGTGGTTCTCTGGAAATCTGTGGCTGACCTGGCATCCAGTCCCCAGTGTGATAAGGGCCAAGCTGTTAAGAGGTAGTTATGGAATTTACACTACAATAGTGCAGTCATATGGTTGTATACTGCTCCCAAAGGTGACAGGCCTAGCTGTGGCTCTCCCTGGTTCCCTTACCCTCTTGAAGAGTCTGGAGCTACCTAACTGCTTTTAATAACTCTTTTTTAGTTAAACTGAAGAAGTGTCTGTTGTCTGCAACTATGATCCTTTTTGGAAATTAATATAACAATATTAATGAAATTTAAAATGTACATGCTCTCTGATCTATCAATGCAAACAACAAAAGACCATTCTTCATCTGATTAGGTTGTTAGGAGTTCTGACTCCAGAAATTTCATTTCTAGGAATTTATCTGTCAGTACATAAAATGTATATACTAGTATGTGCATTGTAGCATTGCTTTAATAACAGCAACAACAAAAGAAACATCCTGAATGTCTATCAATAGAGGATTGATAATGATTATAGATAATTATATATATTATTATATATGTTATATATATATTGTGAAATTCTATGCAGCTCTGAAAAAGAGTAACGTAGATCTGAATATGTTGGGTTGGAAAGCTGTTCAGAATGTCTTGTTAAGAAAAGCATATTACAGAATAATATGCATAGCTATGCTCCTTTTGTCTTGAATACATATGTGTGTGTCCCAAAGCAAAGAAAAAAATATGGAAGGAGTTAAGCTATGGTAATCATAATAGTAGTTAACGGGGGAATATGGGGAAGAAGGAGAAGGTGGTTCGTTTTATTTAAACACTTCTATAGGGAGAGGGAAGATGGCGGCGTAGGAGGACGCTGGGCTCACCGCGCGTCCTGCTGATCACTTAGATTCCACCTACACCTGCCTAAATAACCCAGAAAACCGCCAGAGGATTAGCAGAATAGAGTCGCCGTAGCCAAGCGCAGACGAAAGGCCCACGGAAGAGGGTAGGAAGGGCGGCGAGGCGGTGCGCGCTCCACGGACTGGCGGGAGGGAGCCGGGGCGGAGGGGCAGATCACTGGCCAAGCAGAGCCCCCGAGTCTGGCTTGCAAAAAGAGGAGGGGCCTGACGGACTGTGTTCCGACAGCAAGCGCGACTTAGCGTCTGGGAGGTCATAAGTTAACAGCTCTGCTCAGAAAGCGGGAAGGCTGGAGGACAAAGGGAAGGAGA